AAATTTTACCTGGTTTAAAAAAAAGAAAAAAAGAAATGAGGGGAAATGGGATTTTTCTTCCTGTTTCTGGCTCCAGTCAGCATGTCTCCAACAGCAAAAAACAGTTACGCCTCCAGCTTCTGGATCCTTTTGGCAGTTTTCAAGCCACATGCATTGCACCTCCCCAGACACGCCAGCACCAGCTGGATGCACCTCCCAACCCAGTGGGCCCAGCACTATCTCAGCCAGGTTCCCCTCGGAGGTCTGAACGCCGGTCACAGTGCATTTTAGAAGACTGAGTCCCAGCCACACAGCCCCCATCTCTCTGTCCTGCCAGAGGCGTGAGCTCCAGCTGTGCCTGGGCCCCTTTGATGAGCGCCTAGGTCTGAGATTCCCAAATAATTTATTCTCTCAAATCTTGGAGTCGTGGACGCACTCCCTACCACTGCCAGTGCTCGTAGAACAAATTCTCAGCATTAAATCCTCTCTGTTTGAGACACTGAGTATAGTTTCTGTGACCTTTACTGAACCTTGACTGATAGGGAGTCTAGCTCTTTCAACTTTTATAGTGGAATTCTGGTTTTACCTCATATCAAGACTCCCTGTAGGGACTTCTTCAACTTAGGAATGGGATTAAGATGTAGGAATGGCTAACAAAGAGCCATTATAGACATCCTGATTTCCAACTAGGCCGTAAAATCTGGCAACACCTTGTTACTCTTCAAACCTGGATTTTAACTTCAGTTTTGCTATTGATTTGCTGTGAGGTCTTAGACGAGTCTATTTCCTACTAGAAGCTTCCATTTGTACACGTGTAAAAATAAAAAGGAAAGTTATTGGGGCTGCGGAACTCAACATTTCCTGAGTTTCCAAATCATCTCCAGCTTCCTCTGGGCATTTCTGGCTCTGGAGACAGCTTCCAAGAGAGAATAAAGAGAGGGAAGATAAGGGGTCCTGGGTCTGCATGACACCATGAGAAACACTCGAAGATTCTATTTTGAGGTGTCCTCTGGGTTCTAATGGGCAGAGTAATGAGAAAATAGTTGATAACAAAAAAACACAGCATCTTCCAATGAGGACCTTGTAAGGTAGAATGTTCCCTCCGCTCAGCCCCTGAGGGCTTTGAGTTCATTCCTGAGGACAGCAGGTGAGAAGACACTGTCAACTGCAAAGCACACTCTGGCCATTTCCAAGGACTGCTCTGGTCCATGGACCTTCTAGGGCAGAATTATTTTGTTCCAGTCATTCATGTATGTAAACGTAATCAAGAACTGAGAGGTACTAATGGGATGGACAAACTTCAGGTCCTTATCAGATTTGGCTGGGTACCTGAACAGCCATAGTTCTTCAAATTGAGAAGTACTCTTTGACATTATTAATCCATCACCCTCGACTCATGGACAGGAAACTGAGGTCCTGAGAGGAGCATCCCTCCACCCTACCCTGTCTCAACCAGGTCATACATTCAACCAGGGGCAAAGTTGGGATTTGTATTTGGATATTTTTATTCCAAGATAAGTGTTCTTCCCACAGGATGTCGACCAGTGATGACTTGAAAATTTGGTCTGAATCATAAAGATGTACAAAGAGGTTTCCCAGGAAAGGAGACTAACTCTCACAGATGTGTGCAGGCAAGGGCCACGTAAATGTGGGAGATGCCACACACAGGAGCCATTTGGCTAGATGGTCACTCTGCAAAACTGCCAGATTAGCAGGGCTTTGGGCTTTGGGGGTCTTCCACACAATCTTTCCCCAATGCTCCCACTTTTAATGATTATAACATTCATCTAATGATTTTAATATTTTCTCCTGATCTCCTTCTGTAAAAGGAGCAAGCACCAAGATACTTCTTAAGCCCTTTTCCCGCCCCCTATCAGTGGATTGGCCCTTAACTATCATCCAATCCACAAATTCTGAAACTTTAAAATCACTTGGCACTACTTGTTAAAAATGCATATTTATGGTGTCTTGAGGACCCAATTTTTATTTTGTTGTTGTTGTTGTTTAGTTTTTATTTCATAATCATAAACTTAACTCTGCAACCCAGCTAGACTTGGAGGAGAGTAAGGAAAATACGGAACCCATAGAACTGCAACAAAAGAACAAAAAGCTTATAGGATATTTCAAGAAGATGGGGGTGAGGGGATGCTCTCCTGATCTAAAGAAGGAATGGTCTGGTAGTTAAGATAAAACACAAGTCAAATTTATTAGATTTGTCCACAGTCAGCAACAGTGACCTTCTTGCTGTTTGTGCCATTCCTGGCCCTAAAGCGCCCCATGGCTTTCACAATATTCATGCCTTCTTTCACCTTGCCAAAGATCACATGCTTGCCATCTAACCACTCAGTCTTGGCAGTGCAGATGGAAAACTGGGTATTGTTTGTGTTGGGTCCAGCATTTGCCACGGATGAGATGCCAGGACCTGTGTGCTTCAGGATGAAATTCTAACCATCAGATTTCTCCCCTTATAGACAGACTAGCTGCCAGTGCCATTATGGCATGTGAAGTAAAGTCTCCACCCTGGCCAATAGTCCCAAAATAATCCAGTGAGAGAAGAAAACTTGATCACCTATTTTTTTCCTCCCCAGTGTTCAGAGCACAAAAGTTCTCTGCTATCTTTGGTACTGTGTCTGCAAACAGCTGGAAGGACATGTGGCCCAAAGGGTTGCATTCCACCTTGATATCGAAGAACACGGTGGGGTCAATTGTGGCTGGATGGTGTCTGCAAGGCCTGAAGGACCTGTATTTTAGACAGCCCCTGCCTACCCCAAATGACCTAATGTAAGTGTTTGTCAGTAGCATTTTCAGAAATACCCAACAGTTTAACCAGCCCTTTTTAAAGAGGGTGAAATGAGCGATGTGGAGAGGAAAGGAATTACTGAACAGTAAGTGGACCCCAGACTTTCATTAGAGCCTCTTGATTCAAGTTGTACAAAACAATGCACTTACTCAAAAGATACATCCAGGTTTTGGTGTGCGGTGGTGGCCAAACCTCCTGCTGTGGGGCTCAATCCTCAAGCCTGGCACTTCTTATCTTGCCCAGTCCTTTGGGGACCCCTGTCCTTCTTCCCCATGCCTTTCCTCTCCCCCATCCCTCCCCTCCTTATCCTTCCTCCTCCTTCTACTTCCTTTCCATATGTTCCAGTTATCTACCTATTGCAGAGAACGAAATTTCCCAAAACATTTTCTATTTCTCACTATTTTGTGGGTGGGTACTTTGGGAGGGAATCAGCCCAGTGGTGCTCTCCTGGGGTGTTCACCTGGTTGTAGCCAGATATCTGCTGGGACCACAATCACCTGAAGCTCTGCTTGGTGGAAGCTCATTCATGTGGCTGGGACGTGACACTGATTCTCAGGTAGAGCTTTTCTGGGGCTTTCGGCCAGAGTGTATGATTGGGCCTCCCCAGCATGGTTGTCTCAGAGTAGCTGAACCTCTTACATGGAAGCTGCTTCACACACACCCCCAACAAGCATCCAGAGAGGATCGAGAGCACTTTTCCTGGCCTATCCTTGGAAGTCACACAGCATCATCTGGCTTTACTCTCCTGGTCAAAACAGTCCCAGCATTTGCCTGGACTCAAAGGGACAGGATGTGGACTCTACCTCTAGACTGAAGTATGTGAAAGAATTGTGAGTCCCTGCTTTCAGACTGTCTTTCCCTCCTTCATCCCTCCTCTCTTCCTCCTTCCTCTGCATCTTTGCTTTGCTTTCCCTAAGTCTTCCTCTCATGCCTCTCCCCAGTTACCTTCTATTTGTAGTGACTGTGCTGGACTCTGGAAGTGTATCCTTTATTGAAAGCTCAGGGAACGAGTCTATGAGCCTTTTTGGAGATGGATCTACCATGAGGTTGATGGAGCTCAAGCCTCATGATCCCTCATCTGAGCAAACCTACTTCCATTCCTAAGCATCTTATGACAATTTTACCAGGGCCACAGGGTCACCAGAGTTCCCATTTTGCAGGATTTCCATACTCCTCTCTCTTTCTTTTGGTGTTCCTGGAGGACCCAATGACTTCTTGTTCTCCGAACACTGCACAGGAGTAGATGTGAATTATTCATTCTCACAGACACCAGACCTCACAGAAAACTTTATTGCGGAAACTGGTGGCTTCCGAAAGATACATGGGGGCCCCGAGAGTTGAAGAGATAGGATCTCACACTGAGAAAGGGCCAAAGGGTAAAGGGCATTATGTTTGGAAAGAAGCTGAGCTGGAGGAAAGAGAGTAAGCAAATGCGGGGGTTCGGTTTTGGAGCAGCCAATGTCTTGGCAGCTGAGGAAGCCAATAAGAAGCATCAGTCAGGCACACATGGAGAGAGCCCTGGATTACAACCAAGTTCTGGAGGTTGTTCTACTTCTCTTTATCCTGCCCAGGGAGTTGGTGACTCTGCAAGATAACAGAATAGAAAAGGATGAGATGCTTGGGCCATACTCACCTTAGGAACCAAATCCTATAGTTAATGGAAAGAAGGAGATGGGGTCATATTTATATCTTTTCACAGGAAGAGAAAACAGAAGTGGAGTGATTTTGGGGGCTCATAGGGTGATCATGTGCTCCGTCTTTTCCTGTCAAGACCCAGTTTAAGCCTGTTATCCCAATGTAGTAACGAATGGCATCCCCTTTCACTGTCAAATTTCTCTGTTTGGTCAATAAAGCATGTGGTTGTCCTAGCTATAATCACCTTAAAAAGGAAAATGAAGAGGACGGGTGATGGTGCATGGTGGCCAGCCCTGGGCTCTGGGCTGGCTCACTGGGCCTCCTTCTGACATGGTCTTGGGCACTCCACCCCCTGTGCTTCCACTTTCTGCACCCCGTTTCCATCTCCTACTTGCCAACTTCCCTTTGACTACTGCTTCTATTCCCACCTTCTCTTTCCCAAAACGTCCTCTATTTACCCTTTGCAAGGTGCATTCTTATCTCATGATTGGACTGATTCTGTCAGCTCCAGGCCTGCCAACTTCCTGGAATGGACCAGTTAACACCCAGACCTCCCACTGGTGCAAGTGAGCTTGGGAGATGGGACCCCTGGGACTTACACACATCTGGGCAGATGGACCTGCAGACAGCTTCAGACTGGAAGTTGTTGTTGTTTCCAGCACAACCACCATAGGTGAATTTGGAGCAACGTTTGGTTTCCTTGTTGTACCACCAGCGTGGAATGAGGGCCAGGCAGAGGCCAACTTCCTTGGGCAAACTGCATACGTCTGCAGGGAGATTCCAGAACAGTACTCTTTGGGTTCTGCCTTGCTAGAGAATATTCCAGGCTTGTGGATAGGCTTGGAACAATGTAAGGCATGATATTTTTAGAGCTACATGAACATGCTAAAAAATATTATGCTGCTATACTCCTCCATGCTTTTGCACATGCCTGGAGTGTCCATCCCTCTTTTGCTTACTAGGTGCAATCTTATTCATTCCTCAAAAGCATCCCTAGACGTCAAACTCTTTGATGTCTTTCCTGGCCCTGTTCCTCACTCTTTGCTTTTCTTTATTGCTTTTTTTAAATTTAAATTTTTGCTCTTCTTGTTTTCAATCTTGCACACACATTGATCACTTCTGTGTAATTATTTGTTCATATTTTCTGACTCCTCCATCAGAATGTGAGGTTTGCACCTTATGTTATTTTGGCACACCAGTTCCTGGCAGATAATCTGGCACTGAGAGGATGCTTTAGGAATATATATCTTGCACTTCAAGAAATACTTATTGAGTAACCATTTTGTTCATAATACTACAAAGTACAAATAGAGTTCTTTAGAACCTCATCGTCTAAAGCATAACAACAACAGTATTTATTAAAGTTCTTAGCACTTGACACATATTAACCTATGACCTTATGAGGTAGGTCCTCTTATGGTCCTCATTTTGCAGATGAGGAAACTGAGGCTCATAGAGGCTAAGTAACTTCCCTAAGGAAGATGACATAGGGATTTGAACATAAATACTCTATTGCTTGTAGGATCAAGACAAGATCCCTTACTCTGGCTGGCAAAAACCAACGTTGTCAGAGTCTTGCCTACCTAGCCTGGCTTTACCATCCTCATATTTCTCTCTCTTATCATGGGCACGCTTGCTCTCTGGTCTCTAGACTTTCTAGACTTGAGCATGCTATCTCCTCACACAGGACCTTCGCACATACTATTACCTGTGCCTGAAAGCTCTTCCCTCCAATTTTTGCCTACTTACAACCCATTTTTCTGATCTTATATCTTGGATCTTTTCCCACGAAAACCTTCTTGCTTCCCTGGGTTATATTGAGTAAGCAGAGACCATCATGGGTGTAAGAGGCACCAGCAAATACTTGTTGAAAGAAAGAATGAATGAATGAATAGTCCTTGACGGTCCTCTTTAGAGCTCAATCATATGGGCACAGCAGAAAGAGTGTAGGAGGTCAAAAATGGTTAGGGAAGGCATCCTGGATTTATATAGACAAACAGGCCTGGAAAGATACTTGTTTCTTAGAGCTATCATATCTCCTGATGCCATGTTGGCATTTGATAGGACCTCCGTGGTTCCTTGACATCTCAGAGGATCGCAGAAGAATAGCCAAGAGACCATGTGGTCTAATGCCTATATCTTTCTTACACATGGGGAAACTAAGGCCCATAAAGGAAAATTTCTGTTACTCACACCACATACCTAAATAGGGGAGAAAAGAAATAAACTCCATCCCAGTCCAGCACTGCTAGGATTTGTGTCAGGCAGAAGATGCATCCAGACTCTTGGTCAGAGACCAGCCATCATTCAAGGAGAGGGGTCCAGCAATGCCAGTGCTGATGGGCAGAGAGTGCAGGTCAGAAGTGAGGGCACTGGATAGTTCAGGGAGTTTGTGTGTTACCTTCATCGGGGTCTACACATTTCTTCGCACAGTTAAACTTGCAACACTTCATCTTCCCCGAGCAACGTTTTTTCCTCCCACAGTGGTCGATTTCTTTGAAACTGCATGGTGGTTTGTTTTCGGGACACTTCTCTGAGGGAGAAAACAAGGGAAGAAGGGAGGCCAGAACCCTCCATTGCCAGGCCCAGAGCACCACTGCAGAGTTAGAGAAGCCTTTTTTCACTTCATCGTCCCCAGAAGGTAGTGACCTTTAGATGGCTCAGGATTTTCACATCACTGTCCCCACTCCCAACCCGATAACGACTCACCATGTAGTACCTACACCCAGCCCTACCCCCAACCCCACCACTCATAGGATGCTCTCCACTAGGACTACTCTGGTCACTTGGCTTTCTTGTATTTGGATGTTCCCTGGGTGGGGGCAAGAGTGCTGTAGCTCCTCCAGGTGACTGAGATCTCCATTTGTGGAGTCAAGTGTCTGGACTTTGAATTCTGTGCAACCCTTAGTATGACAGGCATCATCTCTGGACCTTGCCTCTTTCATCTGCCTATAGAGTTGGTTTGAGGATTAGGCGACAAATCTTGTAAGCCATCGTCAAGCTGCCTGGGGCATAATACTGATAACTAATATTAACGAGATGCTTACTGTGCCCTTGTCCTTTTCTCCTTAATTCTCATGACACCTCTATGGGTGAGTCCTATCAATATCCACATTTTATAAACAGAGGAATCTGCAGCACAGGCAGGTTATGTGAACCTTTCCAAGGTCACACACAGCTACTGAGGAGAGGAACCAGGATTTGAACCTGCAATGTATGGCTTCACTGCTGAGTGCTCAGTGTATTTTAGCTGCTACTTAAGGGATCTTCATATTTCCGCATTTCAAGGGACTTCCAGAGACCATTCTTTACTCCAAAAGCAAGGACCTTCTGGGGGTGTGGGTATGGGGAGACTTTTGGGGCTGCAACTGGGAGATTTAAAGCTGCTAAGGGCGGTGCTGGGGTGGGGGGGGGATCTTTCTTATAGGAAAGGTCCATAAGGTTCCAGCACCTTTTTAGTCCATCTTATGGCCCCCTGGTCTAGAAGGAATCCCTCTCATAATGACAGTGGGGAGTCCGTTGCTACAGACTCAGGTCCCTGTGCTCGTGGAATGCATCTGACCAGGAGTTTGGGGTCTGAGAGAAGGACTGAGAACATCTCCCATTTCTCCTGCCCAGGGTCCCAGGCTGAAGGTGGAAGTGTTCCTCCTCTGTAGAATTCTTTGTTTCTCCCTCCCAGAAACTTCCGTTTTTCCGCTGGGAGGGCTAGTCCCTGATACTTACTGCCAAGCAACCCCTCAACCAGCTCAGGCTCCTGAACTCTCCCCAGGAGGATGAATAGTACCAGGACTGGCACAAGTCCCAAGGGCCCCATTTTAAGAGCTACTGGCCTGGCTGCTGGCACGAAAATTAGGAACTGCTCCGCAGTAGCTCCTGCTTCTGATCTTTGGCTGTCCTGGCACAGGAGCCACACTTCCTGTGCCGGGGAACGCCAAGTCCCCGAGGCCACCGGTGGGAGTAGCTGGCACCCACAGCACCAACCCTGGGGGAAGGAACTCTTGAAAAGCAGCTCCTCGGGGCGCCTGGGTGGCGCAGTCGGTTAAGCGTCCGACTTCAGCCAGGTCACGATCTCGCGGTCCGGGAGTTCGAGCCCCGCGTCAGGCTCTGGGCTGATGGCTCAGAGCCTGGAGCCTGTTTCCGATTCTGTGTCTCCCTCTCTCTCTGCCCCTCCCCCGTTCATGCTCTGTCTCTCTCTGTCCCAAAAATAAATAAACGTTGAAAAAAAAAAATTAAAAAAAAAAAAAAAAAAAGAAAGAAAAGCAGCTCCTACTCCTCAGCTCGCTGCGGCTCTCTGGCTCTCTGGTCAACCAGGGAGAGAGGCAAAGATTGTCTGGGACTTCTAGACTCCCTTGGATAAAGGGAAGTTCAATTCCAGCATCTTCCATTTTCCAGTGGAGTTTAGAGATCAAGAATATTCCAGTTTTCTTTCCAGTCTTACCCTTCTCCTGACATGTCTATTTGTCTCCTTATTTTTCTCACACTTTATTTTTCTTCTTTCTTTTTTTTTTAATTTTCCTTACATTTATGTATTTATTTTTGAGAGACAGAGAGAGAGAGAGACAGAGCACAAGCGGGGGATGGGCAGAAAGAGAAGGAGACACAGAATCTGAAGCAGGCTCTAGGTTGTCAGCACAGAGCCCGACGCAGGGCTCGAACTCACAAACCACGAGATCATGACCCAAGCCGAAGCTGGACACTCAACCAACTGAGCCACCTAGGCGCTCCTATTTTTCTTCTTTCTGTGCTTCCTCCTTTTGCTGTGTGCCTGCCTTTTTCTCTTTTCCTGTGAGTCTCCCTCCGGGTCTCTTTCTCCCTGCCCTTCATTTCCCTTCTGTCCTTCTCCTTTTTCTTCTTTTTGAGCCATCCCTTTTCTTAAACCATCGTCAAAAAGTAAAGGTATTACCATGTGTAGCATGTGGGGAAGGAGACAGGTTTATCTCAGGTTGGACCAAATCTTCAGAAAGTATTTGTCAAGATCATGCTGCTTTGAGAGCAGGAGAGGATGCCAGCACTAACAGAAAGCCTCTATTTGGAATGGTTGATGCAGGAGGGAAATAGTAACTATCAGTTATGACATCAGAACCAGCAGCTATGGGGCATGAAGATTCTTCCATTGGGTTCTCCAACTTAAGGTTTGAAGGTTTAATAAGGCATGTTCTTGGCTTGCCTCTGATTTCACCTGTAGCTACAGGAGACAGACCTGGGGCACATTTTTGTTTTTCCTAACCCACTTTTAGAAAAATTGAGGTGGGATTCACATCAGATAAGATTAACCATTTTTAAGAGGACAGATCAGTGGCTTTTTAGTACCTTTACAATGTTCTGTAACCACCACCGTTGTTAGTTCCAAAATATTTTTATCACTCCAAAAGAAGGCACCTTGCTGCCTCAATTGGAAGAGCATGTGACTCTTGATCTCGGGGTTGTGAGTTCAAGCCCCACGTCAGGTGTAAAGATTACTTAAATAAATGAAACTTAAAAAACGAAAGCAAAACCAAAAGAAAACCTTATACCTACTAGCAGTTGCTATTTCCCCCCAGCCCAATCCCATCCCTGGCAACCACTAACCTACTTTCTATGGCTATGGATCTACCTATTCTGGATACTTCATAAAAATGGATTCATACTGTAGGTGACCTTTTGTGTATGACTTTTTTTGCTTAGAGTAACGTTTTCGGTTTTTGTGGCATATATTAGTGTTTTGCTCCTTTTGTGGCCGAATGACACCCAATGCTTAGAGACAGCTTCCAACTTCAAGTGTCAGAGTCTACTTCTGTGCTATGGGTTTTCTCTGGCTCCCTGACATCTTGCTAAGCTTGCATGTGGAACAGTCTGGAAGAGCAAGGGCTTTAATACCCCCAGGCATCCAGGAAGGAATGGGAATCAATGAATAAATGACTCAACTGCCCCGTCACTGGAGACGAATGCAGACATTTGGACACATGTTTTACAGCATTCCTTAGAAGGCCCCTGGGAGAATAAGCTGCAGTTTCCCCCCACAGTAACCAGCTTATAGTCGACTCCTCTCTTGCCTGTATCATTTACCCGATCCCCACCTTGTGTGTCTTGAGAGATCTCCCAAGTAAACTGCTTTCACGCATGTCCTTGTCCCAGGATTAGTTTCTGGGGGATCCAAACTAAGGTAATGCCCAAAGACCTTTGTCTTAAAAGGGTCTTACAATTTTTTGAAGAAACAGAGGAGGACAATGTCCCTGGAGCTCTCAGCTCTCGAGAGCTGACTGTTTCCCCTCCCTTTCATTGTGTCACAAGAGGCCTCAGTGACCCTTTATTCTCTGCAAAGTGTAATGTACCAACAGATGTGAATTATTCAGTCTCAGAGGCACAGGACTACACAAAGTACTTTATTGGGGTAAATTGGGAGCTATGCAGGGGGCTCTAGACATTGGACATAAAGAAAAGAAGCATAGAGATGGGTCAAAACAGAATGATACCATGTTTAAGAGTCTGAGATAGAGGAAGGCGAATGCAGATCCTGGGGCTCTGTAAGGGGAAGAGCTGAGGTCTTGGAATGTGAGAGTAGAACAGTGGAAACCAGCGTGGACCATTGGTCAGGCACACAGACAGAGCCTTGGATCATGAGCCAAATCCTGGTGGTTGTTCAGGTACATCCTTAATGCAATGAGGATTATAAGCCTGGAGAGAATGTAGGACAGGACCAGTTAAGCACTTGGGCTCAGCTTATCTTCAGAACAAGTCTTGAAGTTATGCTCATATATCTTTGCACAGCAGATTAAAACAAAGTGGGTTTGCTTTGGGGAGCTATGGCTTCCTCCTTAAAAGCGGAATTGGATGTGGTTGGGAGCAGATTGATGGCAATCCAGCACTAATCTGGACGTCTTGTGACCTCTCTGAAGTTGGTCTCTGGGATTTCATCATGTCTGCATCCTCCTTCCATCCCTCATACTTGCCAGCTTTGATTCATGACCATGTCCCTTCCCAAACTCAATTCCCAGAAAGCTGCTATCCAACCCTCTGCCAGGTGCATACTTACCCCCCAAGTGGAGCTGGCTCTGCCAGCACTGGTCTGCCAAGGACATAGCCAACCCGGAACAAAGCAACCAACACCCAGACCTTTCAGCATGGCCCTAATGGGGTTGGGAAGCCCCAGGGACTCACGTTTTTTGGAGCACATGTTCTGGCACATGTCTTTGGTTTGGAAGTTGTTATTGTTTCCTTTGCAGCCACCATAGATGAACCTGGAGCAGGTACCCTTTTCCTTGTCATACCACCAACGATGAAAAAAGGCCATGCAGGGGCCAGTTTCTTTGGGCATATCACATATGTCTGTAGGGAGACCCCAGAGTTGAGAAATAAGAGTGCCCACCCCTCAAAAAAGGAGCTGTTATTGTTACCCCTGGACACCACCAGAGATGAAACTGAGCAGGCTCCTTTCACCTTTTCACACCTCAGGAGCCCAGACCCATTGGTATATTGTGCACATTGTAGGGAGACCCCAGAGTGGAGCTGTTTGGGTGTCTGCATCCCCGGAGAACATCGGTCTCTCCCATTCCTTCTGGTCACTGTCCCTGTTATCTTCCTGAGAGTGAGGAGACTAATTTGAAGGCTCTGCTCCCAAATCAGTGTGTGTATTGACCTCCCACATTACCTGTCTTGTCCTTGACATCCTCTTCTGTACAATGGGAATGCAAAATCTCACCCTGCTTGTGGCACAGAGCCATCCTGAGGTACAAGTGAGACTGCCTTCATGGCACTCGAGGTTGTGAACTCCTTGATTATATCTGAATATGCAGCTTCTAGCAGTGCCTGGCATAGAGTAGCTGCTCAGTAAATACATCCTGAATGGATTAAAGATATGGAAGTGCCTTGGAAATGGCAAATTATAAACCACATACTCTGCCCCCTAAACCATGCCAGGAAGAGAGAATATGGGATCATGAGTAAAGGGGAAGTCCACTCAGGGAAGCCAGGGACTAGTATTTTAGATGGTCCAGCACCTTTCTTCCCTCAGTTAGCTTCAGTCCTGTTATGGGTTGGATTGTGTCTCTCCCTACTCACCCCACCCCCATTTGTATGTTGAATCTTAATCCTCAGGATTTCAGAATGTGACCCTATTTGGAAATAGAGTTGTGGCAAATGTAATTAGTTCAGATGAGTTATACTGGGGTAGGATGCATCCCTAATCCAACAGGGCTGGTTTCTTTATAGAAAGGGGAAATTTGGACACACACACACACACAGAGAGAGAGAGAGAGAGAGAGAGAGAGAGAGAGAGAGATGAAGCTGAAGGCAGAAGTCTACAAGCCCAGGATTGCCAAATATTGCCAGCAAACCATCAGGAATTAGAGGAAAAGCATGGAACAGATTCTCCCCCTCACAACCTGAGAAAGAACCTGCTTTGCCAACACTTGACCTTGGACTTGTAGCCTGTAGAACTGTGAGACAATATATTGTTGTTTAAGCCACCCAGTTTGTGGTCCTTTGTTGCTGCAGCCCTAGCAAATGAATGTAGATCTGAACTCAACTCTGAGTTCCATGAGGGAAAACTTCCCATAGCTGAACAGGCAAGTCCTGCTGATTTTTTTTTTTAATTTTTTTTTTCAACATTTATTTATTTTTGGGAGAGAGAGACAGAGCATGAATGGGGGAGGGGCAGAGAGAGAGGGAGACACAGAATCGGAAACAGGCTCCAGGCTCTGAGCCATCAGTCCAGAGCCCGACGCGGGGCTTGAACTCACGGACCGCAAGATCGTGACCTGGCTGAAGTCGGACGCTTAACCGACTGCGCCACCCAGGTGCCCCAAGTCCTGCTGATTTTTATCCTCCTCTTAGCTCACCTCTCTGACACTCTCTTTAAATCTTGGTGTCTCGTGCCTGGGCTGTTGGGATAGCCTGGAACTGATCTTCCTGGCCCTGTCTCTGGCCCTTCTAATCAGTCCTTCATTCTGCCTGCCAGAGGGAAGCACCTACTGGACCTGAAAAAAGCTGATCATGTCATTCCACAGCTAGGACCTTTACTTCATGGCAAAGTCTTCCACTGACCCACAAGCCTTTTGTAGTCTGGCTCCCGCTTGTGGTTCTGCACCACCACCTGACACCACAGTACCATTTGAGGTACATGCTCCTGCAACCTTCAACACCCCATGGTATCCCACACCTCCACACCTTTCGCTTTCATTTCCTCTGTCCACCCCGCTGTTGTTCATTAGCGACAGTCCCACTCTCCCTTCAAAACCTTCCTCAGACATCAGCTCCTCTGTGATGTCACTGACTCCAGTCTAAACCCCACACCCCCATAGCTTCCTGGACCGATCCTTCATTGTTCCACCATGTTTCTGAATCTCTTGTGCGTGGTTGTCAATGGATTCCCTCCTCAGTCTTCTCCATGAGGTCATGAGCTTCCAAAGGAGCAGAGATTGTGTCTGATTCCATCTTGGAGCCCCATTCCTAGCAGGTGGTCTGGCATAGAATAGGATCTTGCAGAACGTTGAGGGTAAAACAAAATGCACCCTGACCTGAACCAAATAAGCCATTCATTGAGCACCTACTATGTGCAAGATGCCTTTTAAAATAAATATTTATTTATTTTTGAGAGAGAGACAGACAGAAAGTGCCAACATGAGCAGGGGAAGGGCAAAGAAAGAAGGAGACAGAGAATCCCAAGCAGGCTCCACACCATCAGCACAGAACCCCATGTGGGGCTCGAACTCACGAACCTCGAGATCGTGACCTGAGCTGAAACCAAGAGTGTGACACTCAACTCACTGAGCCACTCATGTGCCCCTCAAGATGCTTTAAGAGACAAAAGGCATGGCCTCTGCTTTTTAGGAACTCCCTAAACAAATAACTTAAGCTAATATGTGTCACTTGGCTAAATTGTGTCCAGGAATTGCTCTAAGCACTTCCTGTGCATCATCTTGTTTGATCCTCCAAATAGCCTTTAACATTGGTTCTTTTCTTATCTGGGGAAAGTGAGGAACAACAGGGGAAAGTTGTTAATTTGCCAAGGCTGGTGACAGACTAAGACTTGAACTCAGAAAACCTAGATTCAAAAACCCTCTCCTTTAGGCAAATGAACAACTCACCATCCTCTTGCCCACTCTGCCCCATTGTCCATTGTCAAGTCCTGCTTACTTTACTGCCTAGACATCTTTCAAACACAGCCCACTCTTCTCCATCCCCTCAGCTACCTCTCTGGTCCAAGCTACCATATCCTCTTTTCCTGAAATCCTTCAAGACATTCTGTTTCTCTTCTGTTAGTGATAAAACCCTGATCGCATCACTGTCCACCTCAGTGGATTTTCATTGCTCTTGGGATCAAAGTGAGATGCCAGCCCACCAGACCCTATCTCACCACATCCTTTCCCTCCTGCCGTGCTCATACACATTCTTGCTGTCTGGCCTCTCTAAGCCCCACCATTGAGCCTTTGTGCATGTTATTCTCTGTGCCTTGAAATCCCTCCCATCCACTCTTTGCCTAAATTTCCTACCCATCCTTCTGAACTCAACTTCAGGTTTGCTTTCTCAGGGAAGCCTTCCTTACCTCCCTGACCACACGAGTCAAATCCCATTATGACTCTCAGAGATACTCAATACATATTTGTTAAATAAATGAGTAAAGAATCTTTGATAGTCTTTTTGGAGCCCAAGAAGATGGGCATGGAGTTAAGATCACAGGAACAAAGGAAAAACCCTCTGGTCTGCAGTAGTCAAGGGATGTTTCCTGGTGCTAAATTGAACTTAGAGAAGCAGAGAGGCAGCCCCTCAGCAACAAAAAGCTGGTAAATACCAATAGCTTACTTATCACTTGCAGCAACAATGTGCCAACAATGGCCACATGGAGACTAAGAAAATCATGAGTTAGAAATAAACAAAAAAAGAAAACCATAAGAGTGAAAGCAGCCAAGAGACTATCTGCTTCAATCCTACACTCACATTCTGTTTGGGGAAATCAAAGACCAGATTGGATGAAGATACTACCTAATGTCACACATAATATTAGGGGCAGTGATGGATGTAAATTACAGGTCTCCCCGTCCAGCAATCTTGCTGAAAGACCAGCCCTTAGTAAAGCAGGGATGATGCTACACAGGTGGGCAGAAGGTGAGGGTGTGGGCAGAGGGGCTGGTTATTCTGAGGCTCCTAGTATTACCTTGGTGGAGGTCTAAACACTTTTTTCCACAGCTGAAGATGCAACACTTCTTGTTGTCCAGACATTGTCTGTCCTTCGTACATTCATCCCTTTCTTTGAATTCACATTTCTCTTGGATTCTGGGGCATCTCCCTAAAGGAAAGGACAGTTTTACAACCGTGAATCTTAGAGGGCACAGTGTCCACTCTTCTCCCAACCCAAGGCAACTCTGTAAAGTCAGGGATGTTTGCTTTCTCTTTGCTCATCCACAGGAGTCCTTTTCCTTAGGGTGCTCTCATGTATTTCCAAGCACTGCCTACACTGACTTCCCTTCTGACCACTCTCTACCTTCTTACCCCATCCCTAGTTCCACCCCTTAGCCCCATCCCCTCTAATGCAGGATTTCTCAAACTTGCCAGTCTTTATGATCATTATTTATGGGAGGAGGAGGGCTGTCCTGTGGGTGTTCAGCGTCTCGGGCCCCTATCCACCAGAAGCCAATAGCACTCTCCAGTTTAACAATCCAAAATATCTGCAGATATTGCAAATGTCCCCTGGAAGGCAAAATTGCCCATTGAAATCCACTGGTCTAAATTAATCTGGTCATTTTGGCCTAGTTGAGGAGTCAGTGTTTTGGAGTTCCTCCCAGGGGCGCTATTGCACAATGATTAATAACACTCACCCTGGCGTCAGAGAGTTGGGTTTTTAAATTCTACATCTTGGTTTACCACTCACCTCTCTGAACCTTGGTTTCTTCACTTGTAAACTTGTTTTAGCCTTACAAAGTTGTTGAGGAGGAAATGAGACAAAGTGCGTAAAGTTACAATCATAGGAACTGATGCATAGCAATGTTAACTAACGTTTATCCACTGTTTACCATACACCAAGGACTTTTCTGTGCATTTTAAATGCTATCTCAGGGCGCTTGGGTGTCTCAGTAGGTTAAGTGTCCAACTTTTGATTTCAGCTTAGGTCATGGTCTCACAGTTGGTGAGTTCGAGCCCTGCATCGGGCTCTGTTCTGACAGTGCAGAGTCTGCTTGGGATTCTGTCTTTCCCTCTCTCTCTGTCCCTCTCCTACTCCTGTTCACACTTTCTCTCTCAAAAATAAACTTAAAAAAAAATTTAAATGCTATCTCCCATAATCCTCCTAATACCTCTAAGAGGTCAGTTCTACTGACATCCACATTTTGTGCAGGAGGAGACTGAAGCACATGGAATCTAACTAACTTGCCCTAGTTTATGGCTACTGAACAGTGAAACCAGAGTTTGGACCCACCATGTCTGACTCCAGATCTCTCTAACTCCCTACTTTCTGAGTGTTGACTAAATGGTAACCAATTGTCATTATTACTCTATAGTCATGGAGGATTACTGTCTTCAGTTCAAAGAAACTTCTGGATACTGTCTTTTATCCCAAAGGTAGGGAACCCCTGGGGATGCAGGAATACTTTATAAGACTACATTTGAAAGAATCAGGAGTTGATAGAGATAATATCCTGAGAAAGGAGGCTATTTTTTGTGGGCTAAGGGGAAGATCCCCTAGACCTCCCAGATTCTTAAAGCCCCTCCCATAAATGCAAGATCCTGTGACTCTTCCTTCCACCCCCAATCGACCCTCTACTTCAAAGGGGCTGAAATTGGGGGTTGCCTCAGGTCCAGATTCTTGCATTCAGAGAGGGCATTTCCATAAAGGGGGAAATTGGAAGAAATATTCCAAATACCTCCCAACCTTGGACCAGGGCTAACATGGTGGGAAGCAACTCAAGTCTTAGCACCTGTTCCTTGTTTCATTCTCCCAGCACCCTCCCTCTCTTCAGCGCGAAGGCTGAGGCCCCACTACTTACTGGGAAAGATCCAGTCACTGAAACCCTGGACATTCACTAGAAAGGCGGATAAGACCAGGATGCTCAAAAGTCTAGAAGACGCCATTCTGAAGAAGAGCTGGCCTGTTCAGTGGTTCCAGAATATGAAAATGTCTGGCCAGCCTATTTCTTCAGTAGTCAGTATCTTGGATGTGAGAACCGGAGTCAAGCCAGACACCTCTTATCCTGCTGGGAACGCCAAGTTCCTGAGATCGTCAATGTGGCCAGCTGGCATCTACAGCCCACAGCTCTGGGGAAGAGTCTTTTCTTGGATGGTTCATGATGCTCAACAGCCCGGGCTAGGCTAGGCCCTCTGGTCCACCGTGGGGTGTGGGCAAAGCTTATCTCACTTTCCATGTGAACTTAGGAGTACATGCCACCATAAGGGGTCTTGATAACTTTGAGAGTTCTGGAATGTCCTCATTCTCCATTCATTTTCCACTTTATCTGCACACTAACTGCTATGCCCCTTTTGTTTATCTCTGACAATGTATCTCTATGGATGTCTTGGTATGTCTTTGTTTAGATGTGCTTCTCTGTGTTGGTGTCTGCCTTATTCTCTTTTTCTGTGGGCTTCTCATGGTCTCTGTGTCTCTTTCTCCCTCTCCCACCATTTCATCCAACCTTCTCCCTTTTCTCTTTGGGTAGTTCATATTCTTTGACAAAGGCCAAAGAGTAAATATGTTACCACAGAGTGGAGTGTGAGGGAGGAGGAGCCTGTCAGCAGAATTTTCAGATACTGTTTGTCAAGGTCATATTGCTTTGAGAGCAGTGGAAAATGTCAGCAGAGCTTATAGTGAGTGTCCTCCATCTGGTGCATCTTGTTGTCTGAGGAGGAACTGTAAAATGGGGAGGCCTGCCTGAGAGACCACACCCCAGTGAAAGTGCATAGACAGTAGAGTTGCTGGCTTCTGACTGGACTGGTGAAAGGGCCCTGGAGAGAGTGCTGGAGAATTTGGCAGCATTCCTACATGGACTCCACAATGCCTGCCAGCCAGCCAGTCAGTCCCGGGAGAGGGAGAGACTCTCCTTAGAGAGTAAATGTTGTCTGTAGGGTCCCTGTTTCTTTCTTCAACTAGCTGTTTCACTTTGGGTCAAGTTGTTCTCCATTTGTCCTACATGATGGGCAGAAGCCAGACAAAGCCAGCTGTATCATCAGTGAGTGACTATATGGTCACAAAATTTAGGATCACAGACAGAGCCCCCTGTGGGAATCTGTGGTGTGTGTCTCAGCCTATTGACAGTGATATTCTCAGCTAGGAAGGCCCGAGACACTCTTGGGGGCATATTTACTCAAAGTGAGGCCCACAGGCATTCCCTTGACAGACATGCCTCCACCACCACGGGAAAGCATTGTGGTTGGAACAGCCTTTGTGGTTCTTATTGTTATCACAGGACTTACCTCTGCCACACCATCAGGGAACTTCAGAGCACACAATTTATTATTACTCACAAGCCCTGGAGGGTATATGGCATGCCAGAAGGCCACACAGAAGGTTGTGGACAAAGAGAAGGGTAGGAAGTGTGGACCTGGGGCTCTCTGCCTTTATTAAGGTCCAAGGGTGGAATGTCTAGGGTTTCATGGATTCACTTTTTATTGGCGAATTTAAAGCATATAAAAGTGGGAATCAGGGTGTGGGGAGGGAGAAGCAGGGTCACTCGGGTGGTCTGTTATCTGGGATCCTCGAGGCCTTTGCAAAGGGGGAACTTCATGGGTGAGGACAGCCTGGTTCCTTATCTAGCTGTGTTGTTAATATCTGTGTTATACAGCTGGCGCTGCATTTATTCGATATGGATGTCTTCGAAATGGATGCCTCAGCACTCAAAAGCTTAGTGTCAGGCACTTACATTAAAATAAAAAAGCTGCATATCAGGCACTTATACCACACAGTCCAATCCCATCAGTTTCTAGATCCCACTGAACCCCACAAAGGGAGCAGGGAATAGAATTTCTTTTTTTTTTTTTTTTTAATTTTTTTTCAACGTTTATTTTTTTGGGGACAGAGAGAGACAGAGCATGAAAGGGGGAGGGGCAGAGAGAGAGGGAGACACAGAATCGGAAACAGGCTCCAGGCTCTGAGCCATCAGCCCAGAGCCTGATGCAGGGCTCGAACTCACGGACCGCGAGATCGTGACCTGGCTGAAGTCGGGCACTTAACCGACTGCGCCACCCAGGCGCCCCATGGGAATAGAATTTCTAATGAACCACCAAGATGTCTTGAGCAGTGCTGTCCCTCCCCTCTTATTCTATGTCCCTCCCATACTCAGGCCAGGAGAGAATACAAAGCTGAACCACCTGGTGCAAGGACTCTGAGGGCACACGTCCATTTCTTCATCTTAGAGGGGTCATAAGGCCCAGAGGAGTGCAAATTATGACTCCATGTCACCGAGTGAGTGAGTGTCTGAGATAAAGGTAAGAGGGAAAGGAGTATCTGAGTTCTTGTCAGAGGTCGCTATGGAAGCTTCTGACATTGGTGTGAATATATCTTACTATGGAGCTGCAGGTAGGGAGGAATAGTGCACACAAAGGGGATGAAGGTGATGTCCATAGTGGGGACAGAAGCTAGGGACCCACAGAGACTAAATGTCCAAATGGCTCCCAGTGCCCCAGGGAAGGCTGAATTCTTCTCTAAATTTTCTTGAAAGTAAATGAAAACTCAGAATTTCTAGTTGTTCTATCTATTCTGCCTTGCCTAATTTCAAGTCCCACCCAAGGGTCTCACTTTTCAAGCAGATGAGATGAAATTTATGTCTTGGGGGCCTAGGATGAATGACCTCTTTTGCCCCTTCCTTACTCAGTTTCTTGAAGAAGGCTGAGTAAGGATCCATGTGGATCTTTGCCCTCCTTCCCTTATCTCCTCTCACCGATGGTCAGTCATGGTGCCCTCCCTCTACCTCAGCCACACTTCTATTCTAGCACCAATCTGCTGGTCAGAATGAGGGACTCCAAGGGGTACCAAGGTAGATGGCCTCTACCTGGAGATTTCTGCTTGTAATTAGGCCAAGACGTTGATCAAGCTTCCTGTGCTTGGCTTTCTGTGTTGTTTTCTGTGCCTCTAAGTGTGTTAGTGAGTTTCGTGTTTGTTTCCTCAAATAAACCCTGAGCTCCACTGAACAGGTCTGTGTCTAGGACCTAGTGTTTAGAACATTAATAGGGCCAGAATAAACACTCGGTGCAGACTACTAGATGAGCGAGGTAGCTATGTGGATAGATGGGTGGCTCATAGTATGATGAATGGGAATACAGTTGGAAGAATACAAAGGATGGGTGAGGGTATCATGGATATTTGGGTGCATGAATGCCTGAACATGGCTGGGGGGATGAATGGATTGGATTGAACATAAGGATGGATAGGTTAGTAATGGGACAAACGGGTAATTGATGGAAACTCTGAATGGCAGGTAAATGAGTGAATTGTTAGGTGGATGGAGGGGAGATGGGTGTAGAAATGATGGAGACCTATGTTGACAGGTATGAGAGAATGTGTTTGTATGAAAGATGAGTAAAGGCTAGATATAAAACAGGCAGCTGGATACGTAGAAAGAAGGTGGGTGAGAAGGGTAAGTGGGTGGATATATGAGTGAGAGAATGGGTGGAAAGATCAATAAGTTTAAAGGTATTTCAATGCAAGCTAGGTGAGCGGATGGATAGGTGGTAAATGCTTTGAATGATTGGTGGATAGTGTGGGTGGGGTGGAAACATGAGTATATTGAAGAAAACATTAAACAAAGTTAAAGACAAAAAAAGAATTATGTACAAAATCAGTTATACTACTTTAAGGTAATACATTTGAAAATAGAGAGAAAATGGATCAATTTTAGCAACATATAAAAGATCGAAATTTACGGAGGAGGAGGTAGAGAGCCTATATACACTGTAAGGTAAAGTACAAGAAAAAAATTAGTAAAAATAGGGTTGCCCAGGTGGCTCAGTTGGTTCAACACCTGACTCTTGATTTTGGTTCAGGTCATGATCTCACAGTTTGTGGGATCAAGCCCTGTGTTGGGCTCCAGGCTGAGTGTGGAGCCTGCTAGGGATTCTCCCTCTCTCTCTCTTCCTCTCTCTCTCTCTCTGCCTTTCCCCTGCTTGTGCTCACTCTCTCTCTCAAAATAAAGAAATAAACATTAAAAATTTATAAAAAATTATTTCAAATATACCACTATAGAAGAAACCTTACCTAGTTGCTTTTGGAACTCAATTTTGTGTAGCCCTAAAAAATAGAGAATATTATTAAAATATTATTATGGAAATTTTTATTTAAAATATTACAGACCATAGGTGGTGCCTGGCTGCTCAGTAGGTAGAGTGTGCAACTCTTGATTTCAGGGTCATGAATTCATGCCCCACATTTTGGGCATATATATTACTTGAAAGAAAATAAAAATAAATTGAGATATTAAAATATTACAAATCATAGGAAAAATAAGTAACCTCCCAATTAGTTTTCCATGCTAGTTTGTTGAAAGTAATATGATTCCAATAGCAAAACATACAAAAGTAATAGGCCTATTTTTCTCTTGATTGTTGATGTGAAATTTCTGAATAAACTATTTGCTTAAAGTACCTTCGGTGTATTAATAGAAGTATACACTCAATATGATTAAGGTCAGTCCTGGAATGCAAGGATGGTTCAACATATGGAAATTTAATAATATAAGTTCTTTTTTTTTAAATTTTTTTTTCAACGTTTTTTATTTATTTTTGGGACAGAGAGAGACAGAGCATGAACGGGGGAGGGGCAGAGAGAGAGGGAGACACAGAATCGGAAACAGGCTCCAGGCTCCGAGCCATCAGCCCAGAGCCCGACGCGGGGCTCGAACTCACGGACCGCGAGATCATGACCTGGCTGAAGTCGGACGCTTAACCGACTGCGCCACCCAGGCGCCCCAATATAAGTTCTTATACTAACAAATTAGAAGAGAAAATTATTACATGATTAGATGCTTAAAGTGTATTTGATAAAATTCCACAGTAATATCCAATAACAATAGTAAATGTATAAAAAGAAAACCATCCAAGTGCAGTAAAATCTATTTATCCCAAAGCCCACAACAAATGACATTTCATACTGCAGGAGACACTGATTTTAAGATAAAGAACCAGACAGGGATAGATGTCATTACCTTTATTTTCAACATTATTTCAGAGGCTCTACATGATACAAAGAGACAAGAAAACAAAGTCATGACATTGGGAAATGAGAGTCAAATTACTCATCATTTTCAGATATGATTATATATAAAATATAAGTAAACTCATTAAATATTGTTATACTTCTTTTTTTTCCCAACAACAATTTTTAAAATTGTCTCAAATGCTTTGTTTTAATCAAGAATATTTTCTTAGAACCTGTCGTGTTTTTTTTTCCATTTCATTGCTTCTAAATATACTATTGTTTTTGCTTCACAAATGATATTTCTGAATCCATTCTTCATATTTTAATCCAACCTCATTTATTTATTTGTTTTTATTTTTTTATTTAAGTCCAAGTTAGTTAACATGTAGTCTAATAATGATTTCATGAATAGAATTTAGTGATTCATCACTTACATGTAACACCCAGAGCTCATCCCAGCAAGTGCTCTCCTTAAAGTCCATCACCCATTTAGCCCATCCGCCTACCCAACATCCCTCCAGCAACCCTCAGTTTCTTTTCTGTATTTAAGAGTCTCTTATGGTTTGTTTCCCTCTCTTTTTTTCAAACTTATTTTTGCTTCCCTTCCTCTATGTTCATCCCTTTTGTTTCTTAAATTCCATATATGAGTGAAATCATATGATATCTTTTTCTGACTTATTTCACTTAGATTAATACACTCTAGTTCCATCACATTGTTGCAAATGGCAAGATTTCATTCTTTTTGATCACCAAGTAATATTACAGTGTGTGTGTGTGTACATACACCACTTGTATGTGTATCTATGAATACCACATCTTCTTTATCCATTCATCAGTTGGTGGACATTTGGGCTCTTTTCATAATTTGGCTATTGTTGATAGTGCTGCTATAAACATTAAGGTGCATGTGCTCCTTAGAATCAGCACTTTTGTATCCTTTGGATAAATACCTAGCAGTGCAATTGTTAGGTTGTAGGGTAGTTCTATTTTTAACTTTTTGAGGAACCCCCATATTATTTTCCAGAGTGGCTGCACCAGTTTGCATTCCCATCAGCAGTGCAAAAGAGTTCCCCTTTCTTAACATTCTCACCAACATGGTTGTTTTCTGAGTTGTTAATGTTAGCCATTCTGACTGGCGTGAGGTGGCATCTCATTGTGGTTTTGATTTGTATTTCTCTGGTGATGAGTGATGTTGAGCATCTTTTTATGTGTCTGTTAGCCATTTGAATGTCTTCTTAAAAATTTTTTTAACGTTGATTTATTTTTGAGAGAGACAGAGACAGAATGCGAGTGGGTTAGGGGCAGAGAGAGAGGGAGACACAGAAGCAGAAGCAGGCTCCAGGCTCTGAGCTGTCAGCACAGAGCCTGACGCAGGACTCGAACTCAAGAGCTGTGAGATCATAACCTGAGCCAAAGTTGGACGCTCAACCGACCAAGCCACCCAAGTGCCCCTGAATGCCTTGTTTGGAAAAGTGTCTACTCATGTCTTCTGCCCATGTCTTAGCTGGATTATTTGTTTTTTGGGGGGAGGGGTGTTGAGTTTGGTAATTTCTTTATAGATTTTGGATACTAACCCTTTACCTGATATGTCTTTTGCAAATATCTTCTCCCATTCTGTCAGTTGCCTTATAGTTTTGCTGATTGTTTCCTTCACTGTGCAGAAGCTTTTTATCTTGATGAGGCACCAATAGTTCATTTTTGCTTTTGTTTCCCTTGCCTCTGAAGACATTTCAAGTAAGAAATTGCTGCGGCTGAGGTCAAAGAATTTGCTGCCTGTGTTCTCCTCTAGGATTTTGATGGTTTCCTGTCTTAAATTTAGGTCTTTCATCCATTTGAGTTTATTTTTGTGTATGGTATAAGAAAGTGGTCCAGGTTCATTCTTCTGCACGTCTGTCCAGTTGTCCCAACACCATTTGCTGAAGAGACTGTCTTTTTTCCATTGGATATTCTTTCCTGTTTTGTCAAAGATTAGTTGGCCAGATATTTGTGGGTCCATTTCTGGATGCAAAAATTCCCAACAAGATATTACCAAACCAGGTCCAATAATACATTAAAAGAATTATTCACCACAATAAAGTGGGATTTATTCCTGGGATTCAGGGCTGGTGCAGTATCCACAAATCAATCAATGTGATACATCACATTAATAAAAGAAAGGATAAGGACTACATGATCCTCTCAATAGATACAGAAAAAGCATTTGACAAGATAGAGCATCTTTCTTGATAAAAACCCTCAAGAAAGTAGGGATAGAAGGAACATACATCAAGATCATAAAGGCCATAAATGAAAGACCCACAGTTAATATCACCCTCAATGGGGGGAAAGGGAGAGCTTTCCCCTAAGGTCAGGAACATGACGAGGATGTTCATTCCCACCACTGTTATTCAACATAGTGTTGGAAGTCCTAGCCTCAGCAACAAACAACAAAAAGAAACAAAAGGCATCCAAATTAGCAAGGAGGAAGTCAAACCTTCATTTTTCACAGACAACATGATACTCTACATGGAAAACCCAAAAGACTCCACCAAAAAACTGCTAGAACTGATTACATGAACTCAGCAAAGTTGTAGGATATAAAATCAACACACAAAAATCAGTTGCATTTATATACACCAATAATGAAGCAGCAGAAAGAGAAATCTAGGAATCAATCCCATTTACAGTTACACCAAAACCCATAAAATACCTAGGAATAAACCTAAGAGGTAAAAGATCTATACATGAAAAACTAGAAAGCTTATGAAAGAAATTGAAGATGCAAAATAAATAGGAAAACATTCCATGCTCTTGAGTTGGAAGAACAAATATTATTAAATTGTCAATACTACTCAAAGCAATCAACATATTCAATGCAATCTCTATCAAAATAACATCAGCATTCTTCACAGAGGTAGAACAAACAATTCTAAAATTTGTATGGAACAAGAAAAGACCCCAAATATCCAAAGTATTATTGAAGAAAACCAAAGCTGGAGGCATCGCAGTTCCAGACTTCAAGCTGTATTACAAAGCTGTAATCATCAAGACAGTATGGTACTGGCACAAAAACAGACACATAGATCAATGGAATAAAATATTGTTATACTTCTTAAGACAGCTTGGCAAGGTTTCCACTTACTATTCATTTTTGAGGTTCCAGGCACTTCAATCCACAATGTGAACAGCACTTCTGTGACACTGGGCAATCATTATCCTGAAGGCACTTGGGTCTATCAAATGTGGAACACACCACAGGCTTGTGTGGGCAGAAACCTGATTTGGCTTTATGGGATAAAATAAGACACTTGATCTTGAAATACTTGATTATAGTTTGAGACAAAGTTGGGAGATTTGGGGAACCCTAAACAGGGCTTTCTTCTGATGAAGTCTCTTACCCTTCCCCCTAGAGTAACAATAGATTGTACAAGGCAGAGTATCAACTTTCTATGGCTAATAATTTGCGGAGTATCAAAAAGGCTTGACATCTCTGAGTTACAAAATCTGATAGGATTCCTGCTGGCCCTCAAAGAGCTAATGGATTTATTTGGGTTATCTGATCCCAGATTACCAGAGATAAAAGGAATATGGGAGAGCACCCAGAACTTCCTTTTTAAATATAAACTGTACAAATTGAGGATCATGTAGGGAAAATGAGTTGTCTACGGCCATAATGAAAATGAGTAGAAGAGTTGAAGTCAGTTGAAAGGACTTGGATGTCTTCCACCATACTGTGCTGTACCTCAAAACACTAGCAATCTCTGGGACAAGACTATACTAACTCAGCACTACATGAAGGAGTGAGACCTAACCTCAGAAACTACAGAGTTCACTTCTGCCCCAACAAAATTTTGCTGCCAATCATTACTCCAGCATACCTACAGGATGTGGATATGCTCTACATGCTCTGAAGTTCTGCGCAGACATAAGGGCTTATTAGGAATGTACCTAATGGTTATCATTTCTTTTTGTACAAATAAGTGGGTATTGTCACCTGTCAGCCATTGAAGATGCGACTTAGAATAAATAAGTTCTCATGGGGAAAAATAGGGAGTGATACTATGCATGATTGTCTTTGAAGCCTAGTAAATAAGTTTCCTGAGGTCAGCACGACAACACAAGAGCAGTGATTGGGCATTAAAAAAGGAAAAGTTCCCAAGGGACCCCTAAGGTCAACTGAAGGGGTATCTCCTATTCCATGGGACAACATGACATCCTTAGCATATGCCCCGGAGACTCTGGGAGGTATACCCCCAGTCCTCACCTGTCCAGGCCATGGCACAAACAAAGCCACACATGGATTCACAACATTTGTCACTTTGGGGGCAATCGATGTCACTCTTACACAGAGATGAACACTCCATACGGTTCTTGAAAGGGAAGAGTGGGCAATGTCCTTTCTTGACTAAAACAAGAGCAGATGTGAGTTCTCTCAAACCCCAGCCCATCTCACTGTTTTAAACAGCTTTCCCTTCCCCTCCAAACTAGTATCTCTTTCTGTCACTTGGTTCACTCTACCCTGATGACCTCTGGTAGGCTGTGAAGGAATGTAATGCCTCACCATCTCCTGGGATGTAGTAGAAAGAGAGTAAGGCTGGGTGTTTGAAGCCCCAGGTGAGAAGATGACTCCCCAGACCAGGGTGGCAGCTGTTGATGTGGTAAGAAGTGGTCAGATTCTGGATCTATTTTCAAGGTAGATCTAAAATGATTTCCTAATGCAATGGATGTGGATTGAGAAAGCGCAATGCTGATTCATCAAGGGTGACTTAGAAGTTTGTTTTGTTTTGTTTTGTTTTTTCAACCAAGCTGGAGAGAAGTATGGACAGAGCAGGTTTGAGATGGGAGAGCAAAGATGAGTGGTTCTTAAACAAATGAAGTGTGAGATGTTTTTGAGATCCTGATGGAGGAGAAGACAAGACAGTTGGAGTTTGGGAGTCAGATTCAGGCTGGAGATACAACTGTGTGAGTCACTAGGGTAGAGATGGTATTGAAATGAATTCTTTAGAATTTTGTTCATGTTTTCTGTTGTCCTTATCTGATTGCAAATTCTATGAGGGTAGGAGGTGCTTCCTTTCTCCTTCCCCTCCACCTTCTTCTCTTTCCTTCTCTTTCTACCTCTTCTTCCTCTTCCTGTTTTCCTTCTCCTCCCTCTTCTTCTTCTTCCTCCTACTGCTTATCTTCCTCCTCCTCCTCTTTCTTCTCTTTCTCCTTCTTCTTCTTCTCCCCCTTCTCCCCTTTTTCCTTCTCCTCCTCGTCCTTCTTCTTCTTCCTCAGGTCAGATTCTAACAGACCATGGTGTGTTTGACTCTCAAAACTATTGTTAGGTTCTTTCTGAGGTCTAAACATAAATTTCCCCCAAACCAGCTTAAACCAATTTCCCTGGCCTCTTCTGGTTTCTGAGAGAGAGCCAATGTCTAGTTTATAGTGCCATAATTCCTTACAGCCTCCCACAAAGGGTCAGGCCACAAGGTTGCCTTGGCCATTCAGGCTCACTAGGCCTATAGAATTAAAATTTCAGATCTACCCCTGACCCACTGTGAATCCTTGGGCAACAAAATTTACCTCTCTGTTTTCTTGTCTGTAAAATGGGGGTGATGGTATACATTTCAGCCTGCATTGCAGAATCTGAGGTCAAAGTTCTAGTGCTGCTTTGTAAAGTCACTCAGTGCTGTGCATTTTGAACATCAACGACCACCACCTCAATTATTACCATTTAGCAAACCGACACTACTGAACAGCCATCATGTCAAATATTTGTGTCCTGATCACATATAATCATACCAACAACTCAGCAATGACTTTTGTTATTCCAGTATTATGGGGGAGGGAACTGAAACTCAAACAGGTGAAGAAATTTGCAGTAAGTGAGAAAAGGGGAATTTTTATCTACATCATTTGTCACTTAAGCTCTGTAAGACACTGTCTCCCAACATTACTGCTAATGGTCATTATAGTAAGGAATTAATCCACAGCCCTCACCTTCACTCCACCCTATTCTTCACCTATTCCATGCTGTATCCCTACTTCTTGGGAAACCAGAGCTGACCTGCTTATGTTTCATTTTTGAGTAAGTACTTAGGTAACACTATCTCAGTTTCCTGGCACAACAACTCCATCAGGTCAATACTATCATGACCCCCCATTTTGTAGACAAGAAAACTGAAGCTCATGGAAACAGGAAACTGACCCAAGACCACCTGTTCAGTGAATGATTGAGCTAAGAGTTGAACAAAACATTTTAACCTTAAAGCCTGAGCATATGAATATTCTGATGTACTATTTCCAGTTACACTAGGCCCTCAGATGGCCAGGCATATAAGTCTTACCAATTAATGTGCAAGCCATTATGCAGTGTTCCTTGCTGATGAAGTTGTTAGCATTCCCATAGCAGCCTCCATAGGTAAAGGGTTTGCAGAGGTGATGTTTATTGTCAAAATACCAGTGCATGATATTACTGTTACAGTTTCCTTGGTCTGAGGGTAGCATGCAGGGTTCTGAGGGCAGGAAACAAAGAGGGAAGAACATAAAGGGTAGCAAAAACAAAGAAGAGTTCAGGCCCTCACCTTTGTGCAGTTCTTGGTATTAGATCCAAGTGATTAGGAGACCATCATCAATAAAATTTCTAGCCTAGCTCTACTACAAATACTCTATGTTGCATTGAATCTCTGAGCATCATTCACACCTTTCAAAAGTCATAGTGAAAAGCATATGAGGTGCTTTGGAGCTGATCTTTCTTCTCTACTGCCTGAGCTTTGGGAGGACAAGACTTGTTCAATGACTATATCCAAAGTGCCTAACAAAGTGCCTGGCACACAGATAGAATGAAACATCAAGAAGGAAAAAAAAAAAACCAATCTTTCATGTTTGGAAATTGATCAGAGCTCACAGCTGAGCCATGGTGTGCCCCTGTCAGATATTAACCAGCTCACCAGACAGCTACATCAAACAAGGTCACTCTGGGACCATGATAAAGGGAGAGCAAAAACAGTAATTGTGAAAGCCACAGAATACCCAACATCTATGAGTGATTTATGTTTCTCTACATTATGGCTTTATCCTCAGTCTAGCCTCCCTTCTCTGTAGATAAGATCACATGAGATAATCATAAAATTGCCCCACTTTCTGACAACACCCCATACAGACCAAATCCACCCCTGCAAATTACTCAGTCAAAGCCTCAACCCCATAGTAGATTCTTTCCAACCGCTTCTTACTGAGATCTCTCAGGTTGTCTATGGTGAACATTCTCCCTCACTGCAATGAGTAGTAAATCCAACTTGTTCAAACACAGATGTGTTCCTGGTGGTCTTTGGCCAAAGGACACTAACAGTGGATATTTTTTGAGTGAATAAATGGATATCTATATCTATAATGCACAATTTCCTCTTATGAGATGCTCTATACTTTGAGTTACCAGAAAACCTCTTTGAAGGCCAAAGAGTCCAAAAATAAGACCAGCATCTAACCTGACTGGGGTTTACATTTACCACAGTGGCAACAATAGCCTCTTGACACACAGGAAGCATACGACAAGTGTTAGTTATTTGTGAATGCTTGAATGTTGAACCAAGAAGACTAACATCAATATTATCCGGTTGCCATCCACCATGCTTAGACTCATTGTTTGTACTTGAGGGTTGGAATATAATTAGAAAAAGAGAAAATCATGAGCCCTGGCCTCTTTGTCCTACCATTCAGGGGAATCATTCAGCAAGTTCTAGACGGGGCAGGAAGTAAGACACCTCAAAAGGCCCTCAGCCTTGGTGCCACTACCTTGGAGTGGATCCATGCACTTCTTCCCACAGGCAAATGAGCAGCACTTCATCTGTTCCACGCAGTGCCCATCAGTTTGGCACCAATCTGGAACTTTAGTTTCACAGGTGATCCTCTCATGGGGGCACACTCCTGGTTTCTCTGCAAGAGAACAATGTCCACATTCACATCCCTTGAGAGTTTCAGCTCTCCCCCCCCCCCCACATTGGCAAAGGGGAATAGTGACATTCCCTCAGCCCTCTCCTCTACCTTCCATCCTCAGTGCTTGCTTTGCTTATCTTATGGGCTGGGTCTGCCTCTCACCACTTGTAGCTCATTTAGATTGATCTGAATCAGGAAACTGTGTTTCCTGGAAGAAGGAAAGGGAAGGGAAGCATCTCAGATTCTACAGCAGGGAGTTAAATAGGGACCAGGAGCCTTACCTTAAGTTTGGGAACTTCTCTCTCCTCTTAAAACTTAATATTTTACTGTCTAATCCCTCTGCCTCCAGTATCTCAGTTGACAGGGAAATTAGTGAGGAGTGGTGTAAATATCATGGAAATAGGAATATTGTGGTCGCGATACCCGATTTGGGCCCCTGACTCCTTGTGAGCTCGAGAACAGCCTGAGTTCCACTATGTAACTTCACAGTTATCTTTAAAGTGGGCAGGAATGGTGCAGCGAGAGGAGCACTATAAGACAGACCTGGCATGGGAGCCTGACTCCAACATGACTAGCTAAGTTATCTTGGAGAAAAAAGTCTTCCTTCTGAGTCCTAAGCTTTCCACCTATAAAATGAGAATTTCAATCTCTTCCTTACAGTCTGCTTATAAGAATTAAGGAAGATGATGTCCGTAATGCACTCATCACAGTACCTGGCACATGGGAACAGCGTGGCAGATATGGGATTGCTTCCTCCCTTTGTAGGGTTAAACATGGCTGCCTCATATCCATCCCGGTAGGAGGCAGAATCTTAAAGTTGCACCCCCCAGATTCCCATCCTCTGGTTATTGAATTAAACATGAATTTAGGTACTGCTGTGGAGAAATTTCATAGATGGGAGCAAAGTCCCAAATTAATTGACCTTAAAATACAGAGATTATCTGAGTGGGCCAGACCGAAGCTGTCGAGTCCTTTAAAAAGGAGGGGTTTTCCCCTGATTAACAGAGAAGAGGTAAGAGAGATTCGAAGGGTGAGAGGAATCTAACATGCTATTAGTAGCTTTGAGGATGGAAGAAGCTAATTGCCCTGGACTAAGGGTGGCCTCTGGAAGCAACCTCAATAGTGCAACTGCTACAGCTAGTAAGCATGGACGAGGACCCTGGGTCCCAGATGGAAACTGCAGCTTTGGCTGACACCTGGATGTCAGCCTGGTGACAACCTGAACAGAGACAGAACCTGAGCCAGACACACCACACCAGACTTCTGAACTACAGGTAGTGTGTTACACAGCCAGAGATAGCCACTACCCTGTGCCGGGGGCAATGAGGCTCTAAACTGAGCATCCCTCCAGTGAGATCTACTGGAGAAGCATGATCCTTTTGGATACCACTGACTTGGAATTATAGAAGTTTAGCATTGGAAAGACCATATTTATCATTAGTATCACCCTCTTACTTTCTTAGGTTAAAAAATATGAGGTCAGATGAGAAAATATAGTGGATGAAGGATGAATTGAAATTGTTAGTACTTTCCAGTTATATTTCTTAGCCTTCATACCACCCTTCATGCACCCTCCAAGGATGCCCTGAGGCTGAGTATATGGTTCCTAATGTCGAGTTGTGTATTGAAAACACCTGTGCATCTTTTAGAAAATATAGACCATGTCCTGAATCAGAATCTCAAGAAAGTGAAGCTGAGGGACTCAACTTTTTAAAAGTGCCACTGGTGACACCGAAGCAGTTAGGCATCATGATGTAGGCTACTACTTGGGAATCCCTGTTCGAGGTTTGGGCACAGCGAGAGCAAAGCAAATCAAAGAGGGACACATCCAAAGAGGTAAAAAGGCACAGAAATCTTGGAATTATAAAGACAAATGTCTCCTCACTAGGGTGGACTTTACCCAGGCCCACCTCTCTCCTGCTTCTGGGGGCATTTAAACCTTTTTTGGGTTCTACACTTTAGCTCCTTCCCCCTCTGTCAGCTTCAGCTCCCACTTAGAATCCTCCTCCCTCCCAGCCAGCCTTCTCCAGCCACTTAGCTTGTCCATGTGGTCTCCCCTGAAGCACACAAACTGGGGATTCCTCTGCAGCTACTGGGAATGCTCCCCAAAGTTTGGGTCTTGCTCTCTGCTGTCATTCCTTGACACATACTTCCCACAGACCACATCCATTCCCACGATGCTTTCTGTGGTTCCCATGCCTTCCTCCTGACCTATCCCCACTTCCCAGCTAAGACACATATCCAACCACCTGGCAACATACACCTGGGTATCTCATAAGACCTCTTTTCCCACATGTACAAAACTGAACTAGCATCTCCCTATGCCTTAGCAGTGCCTCCTTCTCTCTGCTCCCATCTTTATATTGGCATCAATATGCCCCCAGGCTATCAAGAGAACCCTGAGATTCACTCCTCCCTCTCTGTCACCCCAGCATGCTGTCAGACATGGACTCGGGTCAGTTCCTCCTCCTAATCTCTCTCCAAGTCCCATGGCTTCCCCTCTTGGCCACCACTTCCAAGACAGCTCCCGACCTCCGCCCATGTCTCTCTTCCACTTGTGCCACCTCCTCCTCACTGTCCTCTGACCTCAGGTCCTCCCCAGTGTCTGATTCACCTCCAAAATATTAACTTGGAAAAGATACAAATGAGGCAAAGTTAAGGAAATAATTTGGGGGCTCCAGTCAGGGAAGGATTCAAAGGTCCCAGGGTGGGTGAGCAGGGCTAGTCCTCTGAAGCCACAGTAGAAGTTCCTTCATCCGACATGAGTCCTTGCCTGCTGTCTGACTCTCAATCCCAGGAAGGCCTCCTGAAGAAGGGGCAGCCGTAGCTTCCCTCAACCCACCTTTGACTCTTTTCATTGGCGATGAAGATGTCTCCTCCAAAGAGAGAG